AAACCAAAGATTTTTTGTTTTGTATTTTCGTCTTGAATGAAAATTTCCTTCTTCCTTTGACTTCCGTCTTAAAAGTTATAATTTTTCTTTTGCATTATTTTTGTATTTTGCTTTTTAGTTCTCTTCTTCCCTTTGCATTTAAGTTTTCCCTTTGTATTTCAGTGTACGATTACACACAGTTCATACAAATAAAATTTTATTTCATTTTGTTTGTATTTGGAATTTTATTTTTTGGTTTCTTTTATCAATTTGGGTGGGGTATATGGTCCTCTGATCTTGACCTTGAGTAAAATGATTATATAAATGGAAATTTCACGTTCATATCTATACATTATAAGTATAGGGCAAACAAGAAGACATTATATATTTAAGGATATTATTAAGTTGCATACACACAAACAGCAATCTTAAATATAAAAGATTATTGTACAGGAATATGTTTTGATATTTATTATTGTTTCAAGGACTTCCGGATACAAGACAGGGTTTTCAATTAAATTGAATATTTAAGAAATTTAATATGTTTGGGTGTTTTGTTTTTGTATCCTTCCGATTAATGAAATTGGCATACATGCATATACATGTATATTAATTTTATACTGAATTGCACAATAGAATTTTGCAAGAAATGACGAATATTACTGAAATTCGTCACTTATTTTTGTATTTTATGTACACATTCTTATATTATACTTTTTTATAAAATTTCTAATATACACAATTATAAAACAAACAACAAGATGATCTTCGGAACACATAATATAGTAGCTCTTAAGTACGTAGACCATTGAACCTTTTCGGAATAAACAAAAATATATTTTCACACTACACGCTAAAGGTGTTCGTACCGCCGAGACATAAAAAATTCGGAAATTTTTCAAATTTCGTTTGTTCATTACATCAAAAGAAATAATAAAATACAATAAATTTTCTTATTATAATTCATCTTACATAAATATTTATACATAATGAATAACACAAAATATAAAATGCATTATATGCTCGATGCATAACTGTTCGGTGAGATCATAGAGTAAGTAATATAAGAGAAAATATATCATAAAAAATTTCCTACTATTTTCGATAAAAGAAGGGTTTTCCAACATCTATTTACATGGGAACTAAGCTGCTAATTAAAGGGCAATGTCAAGGTTTTTCAGGACAGGGAAAAGTAGAAACTGGATTGACAATGCTGCAAATGTTCATACTTTGAAAAATGAACGTTTAAGGTTTGTTAAAGTTACGTTAGCATTATAGAACAAGGATTAGACTCACCTAGAATTGGAACAGACTGGAGAGAAAAGAGCCAAATGTTTGTCAGTTGAAGACGAATATCGCAATTCCTTCGGCAGATTTCGACAGATTTCAGATCGTCACCATCCGACAGAGTTTTTGAAAAGAAGAGAACAAGGTTCAAGGATAAATTTCAAGCTCTTACTAATGCATTGTAAAGAGATACGTTATCTCCCTTGCAGCATTCATAATCCATGTTAGTGCATTTATACGAGCGCATATATATGAATACATATGTAGGTAGACTTTGTTTTACATATATTACAAACATACATGCTTATATAAATGGTACATAAAAATATTCTCAAAGAATTTTTTTTTTGTTTTTAAGTTTCATCAAATTTTCTCTTTGATGTCTTTTTCTTTCCTTTTTTTTTGTTTTTTGATGTTTTTGTAAAATATATGGAAAAAGTTGAAAGCAAAATTAGAAAACAACGAACTTTCTTTCCTTAAATTGCTCCCTCTCATATTATTTATTATTTTATTATAATGTTTTGCAATAAAGTCAGATGCCGCCACTTGTACTTTTATGTTATATATACTTAGAGTGTATTATGAATAAATGCATATTTTTAAGTAATGCATTCGTATATCACTAATATAATGGTTGTATATATAGACTTTTAGATGTTTCTTGAGTATATTTATTTATGGATCGGTAGGTGGGTTGACTTAGTCGGCACAATAGCCCTCCCTTGCCCTTATTACTACAAATGTATCGTTCGTCGAAATGTCCACTATTACAGGTGGATTATCGAAGACACCCAGAAATTTTAAGGAATTTTTCTAAATCTTCGGTCGCACTTACTCTGTTCTACCTAACAAGCGTTAGTTTGAAATGATTTAAAATTGGTGATAAAAAATTGTTGGTTTTAATTCTATTGTATGCAAATATTAAAACTAAGAACTAAATTTTTGTATAATTTGCAAATATTGAGAACTTAAAGCATGGGCCTTAAAGTCCTTTATTAATTTTATTTATATTTTTAATTGGAATTCATCAAGTGATTCGCATGAGTACACAACTCATCATATAAGCATTCGATTACTTGCAATCAAAATTCTGGCAAATGGACAAGTCGTTAAAATTTTTTTGGAAAATTTTAAACCGCGACATATCAACTTTGCATCACTCTTAAATGGCCAGTTAAATTTTAATAAAATTTTTAAAGATTTCAAAGGATTTTCATATTCAACTAAATTTTTTTTTCGTAATTTACTTCCAACTAATTATTGAAAATAATAATTTTTCCATAAAATATTTCCATATATTATAAATTTATAAAATGTAATAATTGTTCGTATATATATGCAATATATACATTGATCCACAATAATATAATAATAATAATAATAATTTATAAATTTAATATATAAACATGACAAAATTAAATTATTTTCAAATATAAAATATACATACATATAAACACATACACATTTATAGTAAATTTAAATTAAATTAAAATCGCAAAAATTAATTGATTACCTTCTAATATTCTATGTCACCTTTATAACAATTATTCAATATAAATTTCATATTATAATTTGTATATACATACGTATATAATATTGGTATGCACATTATAACATATTATAAGTGGTTTTATTGTATATATTGCATTTTAATCAATATAATGAAAACTGAATTTAGATTTGTGATTATCTTAAAATCATTTATTATTTATAAAATATTTTGTAAAATACTAATTAATAATAAATTCAATAAATATGTACAATATTTAAGTGTATATATATGTATGTATATTGTACATAATTATATTATTTTTAAGTATTAATATAGAAAATTACATAAATTCATATGGAATATATGTGAATACCGTTATATAGAATAATGTTATACTTCATATATAAATTGTATATTAGTTATAAAATTACAATTGATGTGACAGTCAATATTATAAAATTCTAAACAAAGTTTACATTATTTTTCTATAAAAACCTTCATATATTCATTTGTATTCATATGTTTATATGTATATGCATAATATTATAGGAACATAAGTATACAATTATTTAAATTAGAAAATTTTGATATAATTTATATAAAAACGATACCATATTTGAGGTTATGTAAATATACCTATATATACATATACATAAATTAAATTCTATTATAATATTTTAAAATATAATACGATTGAATTGAATAAATACAATGGTGGTCGAAAGTGTTTATATACATTTTGCTTTAAAGCTCATTTTAATTGAGTTCTAATTTTGTAGTTGGATGAGAGAATCTTGTACCCTATCCCCCCTCACCATCCGTTGAGTGAAAATATGTCCCCACAACATCCACTCAAGATCACCTCCCTGAAGAGCTCGAGCAACTTGTGAGGCTCGGAAATTTGCATGTCCGCCCCTGTGCGAAAGTAAAGCTTTTCACTATTTCCCTTTTCCTGCCAAGGAGAGTAACACATTCTCCCAAAAGATGTAGGGAAATCTCCTTATCTTCCCTAAAGAATCTGCAAGTATCTTCACTTTCCAGGTGCCCTCTAACTCTGCAGTGACGCGACAAGACTCCAGTGAGAATTCTCATCTGATTCTTTTCCGTCCCTTAATTAATTTAAACATGAGAGCCACAATAAATCTTCTTCAAAGAACTTGTTTAGTTTGCCAAAGCTCTTGAAAATCATAATCGATTTGAAATATGATTGGGGCTATATTTAGCACTCAATTAACTTTATTGTGCCCATCAAAAGTTATAGCAAACCCAACTATTGTGTTAAAGTTAATTGACAAGTGCTTTGCCATTAGGATAACAAAAAAATGGAATTTGCTACAATTTTTAGGTCAAAATGATTTTGCTCCAATTCTTTTGACCCGTAATGTATGCAAAAAAAAAAATTTATAAATTAAAATGTTCGTCGTTATTTAAACAAAATACTTTCAGTCATTCATTCATTCATTTACTTATTTATTTTAAGTTTTGAAAAGCAGACAAACAATTAATTTTGTGATGCTAGTTTTTTTTTATTATTTCTTTTTTATTAAAATACCTTCATACATTGTGCACATACTTGTGCATAATATAGAAATGCATATTGTGCCAATTATGTACACATATTCGTACACAGATTCTGCAAAATATGGTTATAGTAATTTTAAATATTTTTGGGTTTTATTTTAAATATTCTATCATATACTGTAAAAGAGATGCGATACCATAGATATTGACCTCTCATGCATATACCTCTATATATTTTACAATAAAATATATTCTATAGAGAAAACAAAAATAAAGGAGAAAAAAAATTTAGATTTTGATAAAATTCCCATAACTACTATTAATTCTTTTCACTTGATTTGATTGGTTCGTTTTATGCGTTACAAGGATAACTTAACTATAAAAACTGTTATTAATTATTGTGGCTCTCATAGATGTCTAAATTAACTAAAATAAAAATAAATTTTTTTGTTTTTCATAAATCCACTGTTTTCCATCATTTTTACATTTTACAAATACTTTCAATTTTATTTTAGTTTTTAATTTATCAATTTTTTGAATATTTTAGTGGTATTATGCGTTTGAATTTTGATTTTATCAATAGGATCCAATAATTCACAATTAAAAGTTTAATTTTCTGTAATTGAAGTTTAGTTAACACTTAGAGTTGTGCTTAATTAGTTATAAATTTTGTAGTAGAAATTAATTTTTATTAATAATTATTTTTATAATATATTTACAGGAAAACCTTATAAATCATCTTGTTAAGCTTGAATATGAAAATGGTTTTGGGTGATTTTGAAGACCGATAATAATTCCGCCTATTATTTCCTAACTTATATTATTATTATTGCTATTATTTGGATTCAAGGATTCAGTTAAGTGAGTATTGTTGAATTTTTATATATAAAAAACTTTACTTATAAAACATTTTTATTCAAAAATAGCAATATGACCAATTTGTATTGATGTGGTACTCTACCATTTTCTATATAAATAATAAAAAATAAATTTATGAATAAACTTTTATAACAAAGTTGATTTTAATTTGATAAAACTTAAATTCACGTGGCATAGTATTGGGTAATTCAAAATAATTACATAACAAATTGGATAACAATATTAATTTTTCTCATAATATACGAATATTATAATTTATTGATTAAGTATCAAATAATATATATGAAATAATTAGGATTTCCAGTTAACGCTTATTTTAAACTGGTAAGAAATTAATTAGAAGTTTTGTTCTTGAAATTCAATGTAGCTGCAGATATTATTTTGGTAGTGCGGGTCTTCTTAAACCCTGTAGATCCCATTCTAATCATTTTCGTTTTGTTGCTTGCGGGTTTTCTTAGAGTGTATCCATTCCATCTTATCTTTCTGCTTCGAATCTATTTATGGATAAGTTACTCGCATATTATAAATCAGAGTCCCTCATTGCTTTTGAGTTCCTTTATAGTTTTCGGTCGGAATATTCAGCATAATTGGTGAATTATGATTTAATGCAAAGCAGATTTCAATACTGTAAATTTTACACCCAATCGAAATATTCTTCGTTTTGTTATCTGATATCTGGCTGTTCTGCGGTTATAACCTAGCAAATGCTGCTCTTGCATTCTTAAGCCTGTTTTCCATGTCTTTTTCTGCTTTCAGGTACTATTATACTGCTTAAATAATAGGAATTGCTTACAAACTATGTTTAATTTTTTTTACAAAGCATCTGGTAGCTCTAATATACATTTACATAGCTAGCACACATTTTCACTCAATATCAGGTCTACATCAATTCCAATATACCAAATTATACAATAAGTATATAAATACATTTTTGTTATACACAATATCCGTGTGTATGTGTACGTATACAATTTACAAAATGAATAATAATTTTAATTTCCCAATTGAGAAAATTATATTATACGAATTATGAGGCCTACCAGCAATCGTATAATAAATGTTTTACATAAAAAATTATTAATTATTCATATTGCATATCTTTAGATTGACAATTCAAATTAATATAAAATACGAGTATATATAAGAGAAAATATTTTATAATATATTTTCGATATTATTGTATTTAATTACCCTTAATTATACATTAAATATTATATATACAGAAAATATCCTTTAATTATACAATAAAGAATAAAATGTGAATAATAAAAAATGAAATGAAAAAAATAAGGAAAATGGATAATTTACTTATATAAGTTGGCATTATTACATATCTAGTTATATAAACCCTAAACATATATTTATACAAACGAACTTGTAATAAAATTTTCAATAAAGCTCTCCTGATCGATATCATCTTTATTATTATCACTTAAATAATTATTATCAATTAAGTTTATTTAAATTTCTATATAGATTCTACGTCTACGATTCATATATAATAAAGTAACCTTTTAAGTAAGTATTCTATACATATGTATATATTACTAAATTTAGTTAAATACTAAATTTAATTTAATATTCACTTGAAATTTAATTTAAGTGCCTTTAGCGAATATATTTGAATATTAATATTAAAATAGGAAAAAAATCAAATTAGAAAGTCAAATATTTTGGTCGTAAATTATTAATCATTGTACATAATAATATGTATATATGCTTCTGCACGTTAGAGAACCAGTGAACGCGTTGATGTACTAGGGATACCCTTTCTGTGACCAGAATTTTTCTGCAAGCTTATTTCGTAGAAGGAGGTCAGAAAAGATATAGAAATGGGGAGGTCGGAGTTGTAAAGAAACTCTCCGAAGTTATGACAGTGCAAAGAATTTGTGTGTGACTATGACCAAAAACGTTACACGAGGATTATGGGGATGTTCAGGAATCAAGTCCGAATTTTCACAGGTCTCTTAAGTGGGCTCTAGGAACTCTTCGAAAGTTGAGTCTGTAAGGTAATGGTACTTGTAGATTTGTAGAGAAAAGGAGAACCCTGCATGAACGTTCTTCTTTAGATTAAAGCTTTGATCCACAGAAGAAGGGAGTTTCTGCGTAGCTCTGTTTTGACAGCAGACGGCTCTGAGGGTGAAAATACTCGAATTTATTGAATAAATAGGCCTTTGGGAGATATTTTGGGCGCCATGTCTATACCTAGTCCAAGGGCACAATTGATGCCACTAATATTGGGTTGATGTGCATTGTCCCCCAATTCTAACTCATTTATTGTCCACTATATTCTAACATACCTTATCTATTTACATCACTAACTAGTATTTTCCATATACTTCATCTTCAGAGGCTATTAAAGGAATTTATTAAATCCAGTGGTATAGGTACCTAATAATAAAATTTAAATTTTCTATAATTTTTATTTTTTAAAATAACAATGTACACCCGACACATTATACAAGTGATTAATGAAAAATTTAAAACTATATGATTTTTGTATAACAGAACACTAGCTATACACAGTTTCGAATCAAAATTTTAAATCCCTTGGTGCGTCAATTAAACTGTGTAAAATTATCCAAAAAAAAAAGAAAAACAACAAAAAAACAGAAAGCAATCAACTCCCAAAATGGTCAAAACAAATTGATTTCATATTATAGAACCATTTTTTTGGTTTGCCTTTTTGATTTAAAATACAAAATTTTGTGTGCATTAATGTTTTTTTTTTTCATACGTGAAATGTACATTTTTAACTCGGTATTAACTATATCCTTTATTGTCATATTTTCGCGTACAACATACATACACTGCATTATATTATGTATGTTGCACATTCAATTTTAATGACAAACACATGTATGTACATTAATATAACATGGTTTGTATATGCTAAATATATTATGTAGGTACGTAGATGAATAAGACTGCAGTCGCAATGACAATGATGATGATTATTATTATGATATCCAATTGAATGAAATCCGATAGCCTGTGGAATTATTTTAATCGATACCGGATTATCGTTATTATTGGTATAAATGCAACCGCATATCAAAAAGTGCGAATCGTCACACCATATAAATTCTATTTTCCATGTTTTTTTTTTGTTTTTCGTGACCTTTTTTTTTTTTGACTGTGATTGAAAGTTTTTTTTTTCACAATTTTTTATTGCATTTTAATTTTGTCATTTATTGTACATAGAATATACATATTAGAATATTTATATGAGTGCTTTTAATTGAAGTGTACGTAAATGCAAGACGTTCCATACAAGAGAATCTTAACATAAAAGACAGAAGCTTAAAGGCGACGTGTAAAGCCCGATTAAGTCATATACACTGTTTGGAACATTATCGGTTACAAAAATTATTTTCCCGTAGGTTGATCTCCGTTGCAATTGCTTGCATATTTTGTTAAGTTATAATTCGATTTTTATAAAAATTTTCATTTCTTATTCGGCGAAGAATAGGCACGAATTAATTCTTAGCCAGTAAGAGAGACGAATTCCATTAATTACTACAATTACAATAGAGTTACAAACATACGAACATAAAAAAATCACAAATGAAAAAAAGTGTTTAAATTAGTTGTGAATTGCAAGAGAATTTCTTGTTTGAAAATTTCCGAAATGACTCTATCCAATTTTAATTTTATTGATTCCCCAGCTCCGATATTACGCTTTTGTTCTTATTTTTTACCCAATATTATTTATAGGATAAAATATTTTTCTGACAAAAAATCGTGTAATTGTTAAATCTTCTCTTTTTATTTTATTTAAACGAAAAAACAAAAATTATATAAAAATAAAAATCAAAAAATCACAGAAAAATTCGAAAAAATTTATAGAAATTGCGACAGTATAACAAAAAAAAATTTATATAATCGATTGAAAGCAATATGAATTGCTACCCCTGAATGTTGCAGTTTTTAAAATGCAACTGCAATTTTATAACATTATCAGTTTTATATACATATATAAAAGTATAAAGTACGTACGACCTGTTGAATTTTTGCTATATAAAAGGATTCTCGCTATAAGCAATGCCAATATCAACACAACAACAATATTTTATTGAATTTTTTCTTTGTTTTACAAAAATTTATCATGAATTTAAAAAGTAAATAAAGTTAAATACAATGATGATTACCATTTTTAAACTATGACGATGATTATGATTTTGATGATGATAATGATATAGTGATGATAGTCAGATATAATAGCATTTAAGTGGAAATGATATCCTGATATCCCGAATATAATATCCCGATGGTTTACATGATGTGCAAAGAAGAATGAGAATTAAATATTTGTTTTTGTTGGTGCGCTAATCACAGTCGATTTTTGGGTTTTTATTTTTAGAATTTTAATATTTAACCAATGCTGTGGTGGTTGTAAAGAATTGGCCCTTTAAGCAAGTTGTTTCTAGTTCAAACTCCGACATGATCACTATGCTATACATTCAGCATTGTGAAAACTAATATTCAATTACAAAAAATAAAAATAATGTCCAATGTAATAATTATCATAGCTGAAAACTGAGGCTGTACATCAAACATATAAGCTCATCCCCGTAAGAGTTCAGTGTTACACAAATCCGTAACAACATATTACAGAAAAAAATTGTCCTCCAGAATTATAGACACAGTAGTCTAATTACCATAGTATACTGAAAATTTAATAACACACTGAACTGAAACATATAAACTTTATTTAACCATCACATTGTATGATTCAAGTAAAATATGATTTGATTACCTCAACAGGCCTCATAAAGCCGTATGCATCTCACCTAATCTAATCTGAAATATGACCTCTAGTGACCTCTTGTTGAATAACATTATTATTATTATTATTTACACTCGTCTTTTTAATAAACTGAATTTTAATTCAAGTCAAAGTTTCTCGTTCCCATTAACTTTTATTGTACTTACAATTTACCTTTTATAAAAAAAAATTAACAAATATATTTTTTTTTTAA